AAACATAAACACCATCTGATTAGGCATTTTAATGCTGACAACCAACTCAGCACCACGGAAAGGGTGTCCATTAAATAGCCCCTTGGAGGTCAAGCGGTGTCCACATCTACCACCCCTTGAGGGTCCAGGAAAGGGTCGACTCGACTGGAAAATGTCCCGAACCTGTAAGGAGGGTCGTTGCCTGGGAGCTCTCCCTATTTGAGCTACAACCACTTGTGTACTCCGTAGCACATGTCAAAAGCACGGCGGCTCGCGGCCCACGGCGGACTCTTGTGTCCCTGGTGGCTTGAGACAAGCCTCTTCAAGAGCACCGAGGCAGACCGTCAAGATGGATATCGAAAGATTCAATTCTGAAGAGCACAAATTCCTGCTGACCTTCCTTCAGAATCCCCAAAAATTGCACCACCAACGACTCAGCTCCGACTTGTTTGAGGTCACTCACTGACCTGTACTTCTAGTCTCCCTGTAACCCTTCTCTCCACCTAGCCGGACTTCTGTGAAAATTCCGTCACAGGCACTGGTCCGCATCCACCTTGCAGGTCTTCGTTCCGCAGCCTTCTGCCACGCCCACACAAGCGGGCAGCGCCTCCACGGCAGCCTAGAAAACGAGTTCGCCGGCAAGATCGAGCCAAGAACGTCTGAGATCACCCGAGTTCAACCCGTCTTGATCCAACTCCTTCGTCTCCACTCGACCGGTCACCCACTCGTTCGACCCGACCGGGCCCCGGCGGGGGCAGGTCCGACCTCCGTCGACCCGGTAGAGTCTTCGATCAATAAACCCATGAAGAGCATGTCCAATTCAACTGGGGGAGTTGATGAATTCTAAGAGTCTCCATGAAATACACATGATGCAAAGCGCCAGCGGCGCGGATCCCACCTCCCCGTCACGGAACAAAACATCGCTCAGTCTAGACTCTAGACTGAAATCCGGCGGGACTCCGCGCGGAGCCTCGAATGGTGATCAACACCTGCGAAGTCGATCAAATCGACTTCAACAGGTTCAACAGAGCTCGTTTCCAAGAGAATCCTCCGCATCGAGCGTCTACCTGCCAAAGACTGACTCGCTCGTCCACACCGGCCTCGTTGATCTTCGTCCACATCTTCAAGGCCTCTGCGCCCACACAATATTCGCGGCCGGTGCCTCGGAAGGCGCCACCCGACCGAAGAAGGACGGCCAAAAGAGAGGGAATGGAAGAATGGATTCCCTACAGGTCCAGTCTGACCCGGTAAAACCTGGCCCTGAAACCCAAGTGGTGTTGCATGACCAACTCCAGTCGGACTCCAGTCGTCTTTCATGAGGTCAAACTGATCTGTAGAGATTGGTTGTACACGGCCGGGGGGGTCTCCCCTCTGTTAACTGAGTGGTCTTCTGTTAATCAACCAACCAAGTGGTCTTCACTAGGTCAACAGCGGAAGACGATGCGGTTCCAAGTGGAGGTTCGGAACGTTGCGGAGTGTCCTAGACCAAGCTTGTGCAGAGGCTATTGCAACCCACATAATATTCAGAATTAATATGAA